TTCGGCCCTCCACTCTAGTCCGAGCCGATCCGTGGCGTACCTGCTCGCCGGCACCCACGCTGTAGTAGCCGCGCGTCACCAACTCCCAGTGCAGGAAGCAGACCAGCGCGTCCTGCGCACAGGTCATCGCCGGCGCCGCCGACGCGAACAGAACCTCCAAGCCCGCCATGCGTGCCCCCGGCTTCTGCGGGCAGAGGAAGGGAGTGAGGAAGTGCGGTGAGCCGACCGGCCCTCCGGGGACTGATGACTCCGCACCGATAATCCACTCGCTCCAGCTGCTTCCACCCACAGCCAAAATGGAGACGCCTCGGGTAAGGGGGCGCGGCTGCCGGAAGTAGCTCTAAAGCGCGGCGCAGCTGCGCGAGCGAGTCCGGGCTGGAAACATGAGCGCAGAACTTAAAGGTTCCGCCGGGCAGTGCGCGGGCGGGGCGGGGCGGGGCGGGCGGGGCCCCCAGCTGGAATCCCGATCTTCCCAGGTTGCTAGCAGGACCGCTGCAGGTAGGGTGTTGCGTCCTGGAGGAGAGGCCCCCTTATTCTGAGCCACAGACTTCCCATCCGCAGAATGGGGTAGGCGCATGCTAATGGGGGGAGATGTTATGAAATATGGCAAAAATATACTATTAATAGTAATGGCCTCTTAGTCATTTCGTGCTACGTGCCACATTATTCGAAATGCTTCACTACTTGTATTCATTTATTTAATCCTCATGACCCATATAAGGTTGGTATTAATTATAGCCCCATTTTACAGATGGGTAAACAAAAATGCAAAGGGTTAAATTTGACCAAGATAACACAGCCATACAGTGAGTATGGCAGAGATGGAATTAGGACTTAGCTGACTGGCTCCTAGGATAGCATTTTTATTATTTTTAATCCTCACCTGAGGATATTTTTTTCCATTGATTTTTAAAGAGAATGGAGGGTAGGGAAGAGGGGGAGAGAGAAAAACATCAACGTGAGAGAGACACATGGACGGACCAGAGCAGGGGATCAAACCTGCAACCGAGGTATGTGCCCTTGACCGGGAATCGAGCCCACAACCCTTCCGTCAATGGGCCGAGGCAACCACTGAGCAACTGCCTGGGCTAGGATAGCATTTATTAAATGTTTATTGTGTACTAGATGCTGTGCCAAAACCTTTACATCACCCTAACAACAATTCTGAGGTATGTTCCATTATCACCTCCATTTTGCAGATGGTAAAACCAGCTCAGAGAATCAAGGCCACTTCCCCCAAGAAAACAGCTGCCTGCCACAGAGCTGAAGTTCCTGATCTACTACTAAATTTCAATAGTTTATTTGCCTGTCTCCTTCATGATTTTTACCACCTATTATTTCTTCATCAGGTTTCTTGAAATCTAGTTTCCCATCCCAGTCAGCAATTGGCTGCAAGCCATTATCATCTCTCATGTTGATGCCTACACTAGCCTCTAAACTGCCCTCTCCTGAACGTCTCTCCTACGTTCTGCAACTATAGATTACGTTAGAACATACGCTAGATCACATCCCACATCTGCTCAAAACTCCCAGGGCTCCCATCACACTCAAAGGAAAAATTAAGTCCTCCCTATGGTCTACACTAACCTGCATGTGGTCTGCACCCCCGTCCCTCTCTCAGCACTTACCTCTCTCTGACATTAGCTATTCTAACTCTCCCCTCATCACCTGCATTCTTGTTGCAATAATCTTGACTCCCATCTTCTCTTACACCCACATTTGCTTCAACAGCAAAGCTAGTCGACTTCCTGACTAGCCTCCACCTTGACCTGATTCTCTAGCCTGTCATACTTGGACTATTGCAGTAGCCTCCTACCCAGTCTCTCTCTTTCACATGTTCTATTCTCCTGGCCTTTCTCTGCATGTACTGCTGTCACTGCCTGGAGTGCTCTCTCTCCAAACATCTGCATAGTTCATTCCTTCCTTTTAGGTGACTCCTTCCCTCATCTCCTACTAGCCTCAGCAGAGGGCTTCCCTGACACCCATCCAAAACAACCTCCTTCATGCAACCACTTTTTTTTCTTTCCTGGAAAGTATTAATCATAACCTGATACTATATTAGGTATTTGTTTGCTTGTTTATTTAATGACTGTGTTCCCGCTAGACTGTGAAAAGGAGCAGAGACCATGTTTGTCTTGGATATAGGTATGCCTGAGTACCTTCCCAGTTCAGTATATACTTATTGAATGAATGTATGAATGAATGCATGCATGCATGCATGTGTGAATGAATGAATGAATGAATGGATGAATAAATGATTGGGCTAGTCTCACTCACCCTTCTGCAGTCCACCACTCACTTTGTTAGCTGGCCTTGTATCTCTCAAAATTTTGTGTTCTTGAGGTAATCTTTGGATGCCCAGATTCTTACACCTCATTTGTGGAGATTCTAGATGAGCAGGTCTAAGATGGAATGCAGGCATGTTGACCACACTCTGGGTGATGCTACAGCTGGGGACTGTGGAACTCCTGAGATGTATTGCGGGTGGCATAGGTTATTTGCTCTTTCCACCAAGATTCTCTGCATTTTCAGGCATCCCTGATTTTACTTGCTCTGTCTCTTCTGCTCCCAATGTCTTTCACCAGTTATGGAAAATTCCACCAATTCATTCATTTAATCATTAACTAAACCTCCATAGGCTGGGTTGCCCTGGATGGTGATGCAGGCTCTGTACTGCACAAAGGTGCCCACCCCAGTGGCAGCCCTATCCCTAAGTGCCTACTGTGATCCAGGCCCAGATGAACAAGCCATAGTTCCTGCCACTATGGAGCTCACTGTCTAGTGGTAAAAAAAAGGAACCCCAGTGTGAAAACTGTTATGGCAGAGGGACACTTGGTGGTCTGTGCAAGCCCAGAGGAGGCAGCTAATTCAGGTTAGGGGTCATGGAGGGCTTCTTGAAGGAAGAGATGCCCAATTGCACTGAACTGTAGTGGAAGATAGGGAGCAAGGTGTTCCAGAAACAGGGAGCAGCATATGCAAAGGCTTGGACGTGTGAAATGCAGCCAGTACTCTGTGATTTGAGGGTCAATGCTGCCTCCTGAATGAGGCCTCCCTTCATCTCCTCTGCCCAAAATTAATTACACTCTCCTTAGTGCCATTGGCCAGTGGGGGTGCCAAAGGGCGGGCATGGGACAGAGAGAGCTAGCAGACTCAGCGGGGAGGAGAATTTTATCATTCCAGATGATTAAAATGCCTGGTTCATGGTGATAATAAAAAGCAGACTGGCTGTTGATCAGTTTTATTATTGCTTTAAGGTTTTCTGTTTTTTTAAAATAGACAGTGTGTCCCCACCCTTGCCTGCACTTGGGCAGACAGCTCCCCATCCCCCTTGGTTTGTCCACTGCTTTGGGTACAATTGGTTATAACTTGAATCCCACAGAATTTTGGTTCCCTGTTATGCATCATCACCCCCTGTTAGCTTGTGTTCCCTCAGAAGCCAATGTGAGGCAAGGATTTGAATGGTTTATTTAGGACTTAATTCCAGGAAATAGCAGTAAGGGAGGAGAGGAATGAGACAGGGAAGGGAAGGAAGCCTTAGGTGTTATATGATCAAGCCAAGGTTTCACCTCTTGGCACCTGGACATGAGTTGTCCCAATTGAGAGCAAAGGAACTGGGGTGTTTCACTCCCTCCCTGCCTGACATAGGTTGAGTGAGGGCTGCTTCTGGGGCATGAAAAGCCCTAAGGCAGAGAATTGCAGAGTGTAGAGAAAGCAGCCTTTGGTGCTTAGCGGTGAGTGCTCAGAAGTGAGTGGGGCACTGTGGCATCTGCTATCCTTTCACCCCCGCCCCGCCCCCAGCCCATTAAGGGTGAGCCATGTCTTTGAAAGTTTCTGACCCAGCAGCCACCATGGAGTAGGCACTAACATTTGTATACTGAAAGAATAAGGTAAGCTCTGACTATTGCACTAGGCTGTGAGTCCCCTGAGGGCCAGGACTGTGTTCTGTCCACCCTGGACCTCAGGGTCTCCATGGTTCTCCCTGGATGGGAACAAATAGGAGGGTCCCGTGGGGCTGGAGCTTGTCCATGTCTGCCCCTGGTCCATCCATCCAGCACTTTCTGTGGACTTACCTTTATTACCAAGAGTCTCGGTTGTTCCTGTGAGGCCTGTGTGCAGCTGAGAAGGTAAGCAGGTGGAAGGTGCCTTGTTAGCTGGGCACCCGCTGCCTGGGCGGTGCAGAGCCCATGGGCCCAGGATGATGGAAGAACATGGCAGGTGGTTGCAGCCACCAGTTCCTGGTTGCCAAGTAACAGCAATGTGAGTATTCCAAGTTATCTGGAAACCGTCTCCCTGGAAACTGTAGAGGTGAGCTAAAGGGCAGGTCCCATGTGGACCCGGAGGTAGAATCATTCACCGCTGGAATCCTTCTTCTGTTCCTTTTGCCTGGCATAAGCCCAACCACCTCGCCTCCTCAAGGATGCTCTCCATGATTAGTACTGCTCAGTACTAACTGAAACCCAAGACCTCCCATTCCCCTTGTCAGTGGGGTGCCCAGCATATTTGACATCTGGAAGAGAGAACTCTATTTTTAAATAATATAACTAATATCACTCTATTAGGTTTTTTTTGAAATATTTTTTGTGGTAAAATACACATAATATAAAATTTAACTGTCTTAACTATTAAAAAGGTATAGTTCAGTAGTATTAAGTACATTCACATTGTTGTGCACTCACTTCCACCATTGTTTTCAGAACTCTTTTCATCTTGCAAAACTGAATCTCTGTGCCCATTAAACAACAACTCTCCGTTACTCCCTCCTCCCAATCCCTGGCAACTACCATTCTACTTCTGTCTCTAAGGATTTGACTATTCTAGGTACCTCATATAAGTGGAATCACACTGGATACGTCTTTTTGTGACTGGCTTATATCACTTAAAATAATGCCTTCAAGGTTCATCTATGTTGTAGCATGTGCCAGAATTCCTTTCTTTCTAAGCCTTAACAATATTTCATAGTCAATGTCTATATCTATCCACATTAATATATGCACAATGGAATACTTATATTTATATCTGTCACATTTTGCTTATCCACTCATCTGTTGATGGACACTTGGGTTGCTTCCACCTTTTGGTTGTTGTGAATAATGCTGCTATGAACATGGGAGTATAAAAATCTGTTTAAGACCCTGATTTCAATTATTTTGGGTATATACCCAGAAATAGAATAACTGATCAATCATAATTCCATTTTTAATTTTTGGAGGAGCCTCCATACTGTTTTCTTTGATGGCTGTACCATTTACATTCCCACCAACAGTGCACAAGTGTTCCCTTTTCTCCACATCCTTGCCAACACTTGCTATTTCCTGTTGTGTTGTTGTTGATTTGTTTTGTTTTGATAGTGACCACCTAGTGGGTATGAGGTGGTATCTCACTTTGGTTTTGCATTTCCCCAATGATTAGTGATTTTGAGCATCTACTCATGTGCTCTTTGGCTATTTCTACATCTTCTTTGAAGAAATTCCTATTCAAGTCCTTTGCCCATTTTTGAATTAGGTTGTGTTTTAAATAGCCATTATTTTTTTAGTTTCAGATTCACAGTAAAATTGAGTGGAAGATACAGAGATTTCCCTTATGCCCCCTGTCTCCACACATGAATGGCTTCTCCCTTTTACCGACATTCCCCCACAGAGTGGTGCGTTTGTTGTAACCGGTGAATCTACATTGACACATCACTATCACCATAGTTCATAGTTTACATTAGGGTTCACTCTTGATGTTGTACATTCTATGGATTTGGACAAGTGTATGATGACATATTTCCACCATTACTGTTTTATACAGAGTGCCCCAATCCTCTGTGCTCTGCCTATTTGGCCCTCCCTACTCCTAACCTCAGACAGCCACTGGTCTTTTCATCTTGCAAACTATGTCTCCATAGTTTTGTCTTTTCCAAAATATCATATGGTTGGAATCATACAGTATGTAGTCTTTTCAGACTGTCTTCTTTCACTTAGTAATATGCATTTAAGATTCTTCCTTGTGTTTTCATGGCAGCGTTTTTTGTGTGTGTTGTTGTTTTTTTTAGTGTTGAATAACATTACATTGTCTGGTTGTGCCAGTTTACTTATCCTTTCACCTACTGAAGAGCATCTTGGTTGCTTCCAAGTTTGACAATTATGAATAAAGCTGCTATAAACATACATGTGCAGTTTTTTTAATGTGGACATAAATTTTCAACTCCTTTGGGTAAATACCAAGAGTGTAATTGCTGGGTTGTATGGAAAGAGTATGTTTAGTTTTGTAAGAAACTGCCAAACTGTCTTCCAAAGTGTCTGTACCATTTTGCATTTCCACCAGCAATGAATGAGAGTTTCTGTTGCTCGACATCCTCACCAGCGTTTCATGTTGTCAATGTTCTGGATTTTGGCCATTCTAATAGGTGTGTGGTAGTATCTCATTGTTTTAATTTGCATTTCCCTGATGATGTATAATGTGGGGCATCTTTTTATATGATTTTCCCTCTGTATATTTTCTTTGGTCTTTGGCCCAAGTTTTAATTGGGTTATTTGTTTTCTTATTACTGAACAACTCTTATTATTGTTGAGAATTTTTTTTATATATTTTGGATTAATGTCCTTTATCAGATGTCCTTTGAAAATATTTTCTCTCAGACTGGTTTGTCATTTTATTCTCTTGGCAATGTCTTTTGCAGAGTAGAATTTAAAAATTTTAATGAAGTCTAGCTTACTGATTCTTTCTTTAATGAAACGTGCCTTTGATGTTGTATCTAAAAAATCATTGCCAACCCTCAGGTCATCTACATTTTCTCTTATGCTATCTTTTAGGAGGTCTATGATTCATTTTGAGTTAATTTTTGTGAAGGATGTAAAGTCTGTGTCTAGATTCTTTTTTCTTTGTTTTTTTTTGCATGCAGATGCCCATCTATTTCAGCACCATTTGTTGAAAAGATTACCATTTTTCCATTACATGCCTTTGTGAAATAAATTGACTATATTTATTTGGGTCTATTTCTAAGGTCTCTATTCTGTTCCACTGATCTATTTGTCCATCCCATCACCAATACTATACTGTCTTTTTTTAAAATATATTTT